TGGAATTGACGCCTCACTTCCTGCCTACCAAATAAAACGGACCGGTAGTGATAAAATGTAAAATTAATGAACATCTATAAGGAGGAGTCAATTCTTACAATACCTACAATATCCTCGAATGATCCGGACACTCTTGATGAGAAGTACGCTCAACGGCCGCTCTTTTCTCCAGCGGTCAAAGGCCCACGGAAATTCCACCTGGAACTTGGCACCAACATATTACCGTTTTTTTTTTTTCATTTTATAAATAATAAACTAGGTTCTCTACGAATAATTCATTACTTCTTATCTTCACATCGGCGTCACAGCCCTGAACTTATCTTCGGTTTCCCAGGCCGGGAAGAAATTAAAAATTTTATATAAGTTCCATTACACGAGATGCAAGATGAAGACCGCTTTTAAAAAAAGGAAACAAAAGCCCTTCAAAAATATATAAAATTTTTCGAAAAAACTTTCTAGAATGGCTTATCTTCTTATCGGAGTAAACAAACTAACTGACTTGAGCTGGAGTGTTTAAAATGTAAAGTCTCTTTTGAAATAACTTACCAATTTTTTCAAACACCCTTCATTTCTTCGGCTCCTCAGTAGTGATTTGAGGACGAGATGGTGTTATTACTGCCTTGCCACTTGGTAGAGGAAATGCTAAAAATAACCGTGGAGGTAACATACAGGCGTAGTGAGTGAGAAAAAAAAAACATAATGTGACCATTTCCTCCTACAAAAAGGTTGCTCCGATTTGTAAAACAATTTTTCTTTTTTCGGCCACGCCTTCCCCACTTATTCTGTCTTTTGGAGCAATTCACCCAATGCATCGCATCGCCAAGTGAAGGGGGGGGGGGGGGGGTGAGCGGACTACCCAAATTTGGTTGTAAACTCCGAATTGGAATGCATTCCTAAACACTCTGGATAAGTGAAATGCGCATTTGAAGTGAACACAGCGTCAGCAGTAACATGGCGGTAAAAACTCTTGTAAGGCACGACCTGCCTTTGATGCTGGTCCCATGCCTTCCCACGCAAGGCGTTTTAATGTACGCATTAACCGTGGCAAAAACGCATTCTCTTCTAGTTAGCAGTTGCAGGGAACAATCAAAAGTCAACTCCTGCATCAGGGTAACAAGTGAACCACCCTGTTTACATTCTCCCTTGATAAAAGATTTTTTGGGCAAAACCCGATTTTCAGCCACGACCTAATGCCGTTCCACCTTCAGCCAAAACATTTCTGAGCAGAAAAGCAAATACCAAGGCAAAAAGTAAAGTGTTTCAAAGAGCCTGTGTGTAACAAACTTTTTTTCCCCTTTCTAGTTTACCCATACGCCTAAACTGTTTGCTATGGAACATTTTTTTTCTTCGGGCGTTTTGTTTTTCCAGTGGACTACACATAAAATGTGAAGCAGTTGAATTGTTTTGGTTGAGATTTTGCCAACTATGCACCAATCGGAGTGATAGAAAATGTTTATCCTTTCTGACAGAAATCAGCAAAACGCGCCGAGGAGGACGCCACGGTGAAATTTGACTGTCTTATTCAAACCATCGAGGCGAAGAAGGCGGAGTTGATTTCCGCCATCAAAGAGGAAAGGGACAGGAAATTGGGCGCTTTGAAGGAGCAAATTCATCAGTGCACCTCCAAACTCACCCGATCTACGGGTCTTATTCAATTTTGCATAGAGATGCTAAAGGAGAATGATGCCTTCTCCTTCCTTCTCGTGAGTCCTCTGTCTCGGAAGTAGTTTTGTGGGATGAGGTTTGATAGCTTAAGCAGGCATGATTGTTCTGACCCCGCAGGAAAGTGGACTGTCTTGGGAGAGTGCAAATTTGGCGAGATAGAAATGCTTTCCACTACTTATGCCTTTGCTTAATTATGAAACAAAACTATCCTGACATTTGCCTAATAAATTCATAAAATGTCAAAACCGGCAGAAGGGGTTTGTTTATTTCGAGCGAAATTTGTGCGGTAGTCAAAGTAATATTTTCAAATGTAATTGTGAGTCATTTAGGTTCGTTTTTTCCGATAATTTGGGAATCAATCAGCATGGGGCCTAGGGAAATAGAGACCTTTGACATCGAAAATCGGAAAGAGTGGGAAATTAGATGACCGATTGACCAGCTACGAGGAGTCTGACACCGTCAATCTTCCTCTCGAGGTGTCCCAATCTCTCATAAATCGGGCATTACACACTGAACAGTCCTTCTTGCACGCAATCGAGACACCTCCAGCCGTGGTTCAATTCTGTCCACGAGCACAGCCACCGACTACTTCCGGCCAATCACATCCCTCCACTCCGGCCCACTGGGTCAAAAGCAGATCGGCCCACTTGGCCCATTCCAGCTTCGTCTCCCTCATGCAATTGGATGCCATTCATAAGGTCATCAGCGACCTCACACTCCACGAAGGAATTGGTAAGTTGGACTTTAAACTTACTGTACAGCCCTTGCTTGGATACCATATTGGAAGGCGAAAATATTATTTGAGTTAAATGGAATGCCACAATTCATAAAAAGCACAGATTCCGAGGCCCTGACACCCAGAGTCATACTACTATGAAGGGAGTTTTATTATTAACGTGTAACCTCTAGTATATCACCATAAATAAGGTCTTCTTCTAATGAAAAAATCCGGTTATATAGTACTCTTCAAATAAGTGGTATATCGAAGGAGGAAGGTAGTTTTCCCCAAAGTTATGCCGTAATTTGAAAGGATAAAGTGTTCTTGAATTATGCAAAGTTGCGCAGAAACAAAAGGAAATTTCTTATGGGCATAAAATGGCGCCGCGGCCGTTAGAGGTTGGGAAATTTTGGGGTTTAAAATTTCTCTATGTCTCACGCAATCCCCAGAGACTGAGTTTTGTGTGATTTTCGTGATCAACCGACCGACCGACCGACTGACGATGCCGCAAAGTGGCCTAAACCTACCCAACTCCACCGACTAATCCGATCGCGCAAAGCCTCCGGCTCCGCAAAGCCCCCGCCAAACAGTCCTACGGTACAAAGTCGCCTCCCTCCTAATTACTATTCTCCGCAATAAGGAGAGATCTGCTTCAGGAAAAGATTCTGTTCTTTTCTGCCTTAAAGCACTGGACATTTTCATCAAAATTCTAGCATTAGGCGGAGTTTGTCGGCCCAGTTATCATGTAGCACCACTCTACGCTATTTCATAACTTTTAGCCTAGAAGAGCACTTCTGTGTGGGTATACCTCTTAAAAGTGGTGCTTTTGTCAGCACTTTTCCCATCCCTTAAAGCGTGGGACTTAAAAGTCTTCCAGCTAACAAAACCCGCTGATTTTATCGGAGGTTGCTCCATTCTCCCTCAACGTTTAGGTTTTGCGCCGCCTAATCCACCCTGCGTCAGGGAGTGGCTTAAAGCCAAGATGAATTTGAGAATCCTCCCTTTTTTTGCTCCCACTTCACTTCAATCAACATCAAGTTGTACTGTCATTTGATAAATGGAGGGAGAAGGCACTGCAATCCCTCAATTAATTATCTAACCACTTTTCGGTGTTTAAATTGACAAGTTGGTTAACTGGCGCTGATTTTCATCTATCAAATGAATTCAGTAAACTGACTTGGCAAACAAGCACTTATTATGAATCCACAAATCCTTGAGTTATTTTTAAAAAAGGTTAGCATTCCCATTTGCCTGGGGCGAAAAAAAAGGAAAGGGAAGCAGCAACTTGCTGGAGCAAGCCATCGCTTTGAGAGGCGTTGTTCTTCCTCTTCCGACCGACAATGATTGCACAGATAAGCCGCGCTTCGAGTGACTTTTGCCAATGCATAAATTATCCTCTGAAAATGAGATTTGCATGCTAGTCTGGTGCGCCTTTCATCTTTCATCTTCTCTTTCAGACGACCAACTTATCGACTGTTCCGCCTCGAGCGCCTCCTCCGACTGTGAAGGTAAAGAAGGCTCCTGATTACTTAATCACCTTTTTTTCCGTTTTTTTTACTAATTCTGCTTCGCTGGGACTCACGTCGGGCTTTTGCAATGTTTGATTAGGGGGAAATTTTACCGAAAATGTTGAATATTCTTTTGTTATCAGATAAGGGGGGCCCTATCTAAACCTACCGTAAGTGGATTCGGAAGAGAGGCCCCTCCAGCTACATAAAATTGATAAAATTACCCACTTGGCTTTGACTACTTTTCCTCTAATTTGCATTCCTCACCAAACAGAGATTTTTGAGAAAAAATGTGTAGGAGAAGAAAATCATGGCTGCGTCGGCATGTCAAACTCAGGGCACCTAATGTTTTTCCCTTGGACGGGTAACAAGTTCTTTTTACTTTTGACAGCAAAATTAATGTCAAAAGGCGCCTTCTCTGAGATAAAAGATTCCGGGGTCTTTACTGGCTGTTAAATTTGTCCCCTTCCCTAGTTCCAAACGCCCCGGTATTCCGCGCTGAGGAATGTCTCTCCGAGGGCAACATCATCACGCTGGTTTGGCAACCTTGCCCAGGCTTCGGCATCGACTACTACACACTGGAGATCGATGATGGAGCTGGTGGGGCCTTCCGGGTACGTTCTCTCTCCTCATCGTAGCTTCGTAATTTGTACGCTAAATTAAAAAACAACTCCGGTAGATTAAAATATAGCATCCCTTTGAATAAAGTGGCTCTAATTTATGAATTCTGCTAACTTTTTACCCCCGCACGCGATTCAAAAAGGGAAAGAAATGGGCGGATAGCCCTAAATTGAAATGAGCCAAGACGACGTATAATTATAGTGCTTTTGTTATCTTGGAAATATGAAAATTGTCCATTCCACGGTAATAATTGCCACCTTTACACCTTCTTTGCACTATTCTTCATCAGTGTCTGCGGCAGTGAGCAACCTTCGCCTCTTTTCCTCCTTTGTAGATGTATTAGTTGATATAAGGGCTTATTCCAGATAGGAAGATAAATAAAATCTGATTTGGAATTTACAGAAAGTCTACCGAGGCATTGAAACAATGTGTACAATCGAAGGACTACACTTCAAATCCATGTACCGGGCCAGAGTGAAAGCCCACAACCAGTCCGGTTACAGCGCCTACAGCGACCGACTGGTAATCCAGACATCAACCCGTAAGTTGTTTTTCAATGTGTGCGTGTATATGTATCAGACCTCTCCATTAGAATAGTAGGCTTTTTATTATGTCTGAATTCAAAATCTCAGAGCTTAGCCACCCGCAAAATGAAAGGCGTGGCTGGAGTCACAGGTGCGGTGCTTGAGAGCGCTGCTTTCGGTGACATTAAAGCAAGCTGGTTTTCAGTTATCCGTTTTAGAAATTGTCTTTAAGATGGTGGATAAATTTGATTAATCTGTGGAATGGGAACTTTTCACAACTAAATTACATGCATAATTTGCTTCCAAGTGGACCCTGCGAATGGCGGACCTTTGCCACGGTCGCTTGAGGTAGAAGTACATCCGACCGACGACTGCTTTATAGGTAATGACCGAGATGTATCACCGAATCAAGTGCTTTTGTTTGCTATAAACCCATGGTATAATAAAACAGACCATTAAATATCCCCATAAAGAATAATAGCTTTTTCGGTGTAACAGAGCAGTAACTCGGTAGTCCACTTCAAATTGGCTGTCGATGTCGTAGTTTCCAGTACACCGTAACCAAATAAGTTTGTTCAGTAATATGCCAAGATTGGAGTTAGTGCTGAAGGCTTTGTAAAAGACAAAATTTATTCAACAATATCATAACTAGCACAGTCTTTGGTCTAATTCTTGACCAATCGAGATGCAAACTCGCTGTCAACTCTAGAAGCCATGCTTCTAGAAGCAAAGCGCATGTTCCAGATACATCCCTCCTCCAACTGTCTATTCCATGTTGCATGTGGTTGTCTGCTGCAGATGCCAGGAGGAAGAGGATAATGATCACTCGAAGCTTGGAGAAGTAACAATGGGGTAATGCGAAAGTGTGCAGTCAGTTTAAGGTCGGTATGAAGTATGGAGAAGAGAACTTGCCCCTCCTGTCTAGTAAGAATGCCACTACTCCTACGACAAAAAACACTACTAGTCTTACTTATTTAAATGGCCTTCATCATCAATTGTGTCA